CATCAGATCTGCTATAAATATAAGATATAGAAGTCTCTAATGGGTTTCTATCAAAATGGAATGTCTGACAGATATATATAGATTGTAATAACGTGCGGAGAAGCACTTAAATGCTATTTGCCAGATTTGATTCATGTGTTTTTGAGCATTTCAGGTTGAAATTTAAATGTTAGGCGAAACTAGTCATCCATATTTCGAATTCGGATCAGACGAAATATTTAGGCTCGCCCGAAACACTACCCACACTTACTTTAAATCAATTGATTAATAATATTTTTATATGATTTTATGCACGATTAGAGCTTGCGAATTTCTTATTCGAATAATTAATATTCGAATATTCACCGAATGACTAATAATATGGGTTTGGTGCTGAGAAAAGAGACAAAGTTAACAAAAAATATATATATAAATATATTTGTGAAAAATTAATTTTTATACTATAATAAATTATAAGAAAATACAAACTTTACTGTAAACTTTCATTAAAATAACAGTATTTATTCCTTAACCAATATATTCCTAAGCTAATTTTGGATAAGTTAAGCTCAAAAAAGGTTTTTAATTGATTCCTTTTCTCCATATATAGTTATCAGATATGATGCACTTAATATATAATTGCTATAGTAAGCAACCAATGACTAAAGTTTCACATAATGAATAATCGGATTTGTTTATTGTATTCGTTAATTATTTATTCGAATATTCGTCGAATACGATACGAATATTATCTGAATAGCGAATACGATGCTCTATGCACGATAAATAAGAAAATAGAATGTCTATGTATAAAAATTTTAAGTGCTGCTAATCTGGTCTTATAGAGGGTTTACTGTATTAAAAATTTGGAAGGATCCTTGTTTTTCGCTAGAACCGAATAGTTTATGATTAAAATTTCAAGTATAAACTGCCTGTGTACATGCACAAATAGTAATTTAATAAAGTGCTAACTCAATTTTTTTATAAATTTTGAATATTTCATATTCGTCCGCTGAAAATTTTGAAACTTCGTTAACAAATGTAGATTTATCTCTAATATGTCTTTCATATATATCATCAGCATAGCAATAACAATTATCATCTTGATCAAATTTATCACGCATAATAATACCACTACGAAAGACTGGACCACAAACAGGATTCCAATAAATTCCAGCTTGTGAAGTTTTTACACGGCTTAAAATAGAATTTTTGATGGTACCATTTTTCAATGAAAAAATAAAGCTATCATCGCAATATTTTTGAATTCCTGTTACTGATTTTTCCCATCCAATAGGATTATATCCACCAAGGATTTCATCGGTACCTTTAACTTTAATGACTACTATAATATTTGTTTGCTTGTTACATAAATTCCAAAATGAATCTTGGGTAAAACCATCTCTACTCCCACGAAGTAGTAGTTTAACTTCATATGGGCTATTTATCAAAGAATATATATCGGTTTTTCTATCAATCCATGAAACAATTTCAGCTAAATGTTCATCATTAATAACTGTTGAAAACGGTTCTGCTATTCTAGTCGGTAATTTTTGTGTTAAAATTACACGAGGTGGGAGAATAATTGATGTTATTGGTTGATTTGGTGCCATAAATCGTTTTTTTATGTCTTTCCAAAGGTTTTTATCAAGTATTTGCTTATATGGTTGTATGTGATTATAAATATCTTCACCGGAAATATGAAAATAACGAATAAGAGGTAAGCAATTTTGTAAAGTAGTTTTTAAAGTTAAAAAATTTTCATGATTCCAGTTTTTAAGATCGGATGGTAACCCCGAATTTTGCGCAATCCCCCATTTGATGATATAATTCCAAATTCTCACTTCCTCCATTTGCAAGTCATCACGGCGAATCAGTGAAACTAGGGTATTTTCTGACAATGAGGTAAAATCTTCACCGTCAAAAACCTGGTTTGGGTATTTTGCCATAATATTATTACACCATTTTTGTAACTCTTGAAGCTCTTGATTTTGATAACTTTTTTGGTAAACATGAGAAAAATGTAAGCGAAGCCAAGAAGCCTTGGTTTCAATTAAATAAATTTCAAAGTATTTGACCAACTCTTCAAGAAGAAATTCACAGGCAACAATCATGGTTTCAAAAATAAAAGATGTATCAAGATTTTCCAATGAAATTACACCTCCATAAATATACCTTCATATAACATTTGATTAGTTCATTAATAAAGTAACAAACTTAAATATTTACAATAATATATTATAAAACATACTTGATAATAATATCAAATTGTTGGATGGAAACATGCTTTAAATCAATCGTTTTGATATTATCTCGGTCCTTGCAAATATTTGCCAATTTATTACGAAAATATAAAGATCGATATCTTAAAATAGCTGAGTGTGCCTTAAATATTTTATCACTTGAAGGCTCACCGACGTTAATTATTACGTCAGAATCTTCTTTATCATTAAGAAGTTCAAGATAATTATTGGAGAGATTTTCAAAAAATTTCACCGTCATGTTAAAGGGTCTAAGTAATATCTTGTCGTTTTAACGTTAACTACGTATAAGTGGAATATCTGTTTGTGTGATACAAACTCAAAAAAGGGGTCTGTACTCGGCCCAATCAAATCCCTAACTAATTAACGTTAAAAGACCTCCACAAATTTCCACTTACCCCACCTCCCATAGAAGATTCATTATCGCTGTTGTCTTTTATCCGACTATCGTAACTTATTTTAGTTGTTTTCTAGAACAATTTGTGATCACTTAAATTTTATAAATACTAAATACGTAGATAAATCCCCATCTTAACTATTACTTATCAATTTTTATCTTATCATAGAAATTCAAGTTCGATTACAAGTTCGATTAAATAGTTATTTTTTGTTGACAAACTTTAACAAGGTAATTATTTATGTGCTTATGTTTGGATTATGTATTTAAAACGATTGATGTCAAACTTTGTTACTGTATCATGGGTTGAAATACGTATAAGTACATATCTATTACCAAACATCATTTTACTCTTTTAGTCATCCAAATATTCCGCTTCTCAATAATATAATGTAGCTATTCCTTGTTTGGAAAATAAATGCATATATTATATCATTATCGGTTTATATTTGTTCAAAAACCAGATTAACCATTCGTTCAATGAATATCCACGCAGGTAATTAATTGATAACATCATTTTGAAGTAGTAAATAAATATTTATTAATTCTATCTTTTTTTTTTAATTTATATAGTTTGACACAATACAGAATGGATGAGATAACCATTAATTTGCCATTTGAAACATTAACTCAAGTATTCCAAAATTTATTTGAAATTTCCAGTTGTTCTGTAAAAAATTGTGTTTATGTCAACAAATCATGGGCTATAGCTGCACTTCCAATATTGTGGAGAGCACCATTTACAAACACTGACAACTCTATAAAATTGATTGAGACTTTACTCACCAATCTTCCGGAAAATAAAAAAGTTGTTCTTACCCAAAATTTATCCTCAAAATGTTCAAAATGTTTATCAAAGAGTAGCACAATGTATAATTATGCTGAATGGATACGTGAACTTCCTTTCGAACTGATTTTTAATTCTATTCGTTGGTGGTTGGATAGTCCTATGCTACAAAAGAAGAAGAAGAAACTGCTTCATAGTAAAGTTTATAGTACTTCAAATGACTATGAACAAGTTAACAAAGTTCAAGATGTTTATTCTATTTTAATTCCCTTCATTTTTGAATCAAGTAAAGGTTTGTATACCCTTGATCTCACTTTCCAACCTGGACATTCTCGTCTGCTCAACTTGTTAGAACAAATAGAAATTTCAAACGAGTCTTTGAGATCAATCACTGATTTATACTGTCACGGTATCATTCCAAAAAATTTTTACGGAGCTCTTAAAAAAGTCACTCGAAAATTAAAAAGATTATATTTAAATCATCCACAACAAGAAGATGATGTTGCTGATTTAGCCGAACTTATTCGTTATCAAAAAGGTCTTCAATCTATAAGGCTTAATAATTCTAGAACAAAGATATCAATGTTACTTCAAAGTTTTAGCAGCCAAGCAGCTACCTTAACTACTCTTCGACTTCATGCAATCCTTCTTATGAATAAGGGATTGGATGCCTTAGGAACTTTAGTAAATTTGGAGTCTTTAGAAATAAAAAGGAGTAGAACTTCTCTATTTTATGCTTATGATCCACCTGATCCGTTATGGATTATGCCACACTTAAAAAAGTTACATTTGATAGAAATTCGTGTGTGGGGTGATATGTCGGCCATACATGCTATTTTGAGAAAGACTATTCCAGTACTAGATGAATTAGTTATCAGTCAGTTTCTTTCAGTCAATAGTGCTACTCAATTAGCTATCAATAAAAGATTACCTCTGAGACAAGAAGAAACCTCTAAAATGATTATTACTTTTACTAGATAGTTTGCTGAAAGATTTTATGGTTCGCCAGATAATTTTGGATTTATCCAAATATTGAATTAGTAATACGGTTTGACATAGTTTGATAAGAGATTGTAAAATATTTTTTCTTAACGGTTATTTAAAACTCAGACGAGATAAAACAAAAGGTGTATTGTAAATTATGTTTATTTGATATATTATATATATATTTTTTAATAATAAGATCTCATATTTGATATTGCATCTTTAGTATATTATTGAAAAAATCAATTTATATAGTCAAAATTAAGTTTTGAACAAGTCTTTTTAGTTGCTTTACGTTTTTTTAAACATTATATTTAATTATTACAACCTAAATAATCGCAATATATTTTCTTTATAATAAATAATTTACAAAAAATTAATGTTCGGATTTTCCGAAATTATTGTTTTATTTATACCAGTAGCCACCAATTTCAATCTTTACCATTACACAGAATGCTATAGCTTTCTACTTTTAAGATTGATCTCGACTAGAAATCAAGTTATCCCATTTTCTATAAACTCATACTATGACTAGAAAAAATTTTGTCAAACAAACATCAAATAAATACCTTTCTACTCAAATTATAGGTTATTATTCTTCATCATACTTGTAATCACAAATCTTAACCCAACAAAACACAAACCCTTCTTTTTGCAATTCATTCTTCAATTTCTCTATATTAAGCATCATATCTTTATTATTTTCATCTTCCCATAATCCAACAATAGTACCACCCGACCCTGTAAATTTGGCAGCAAACCCAAATTTCCTAGCCAATTCAATCATTTTCAAATTATTCTTTCCAAGTATCTTATTTCCAAATATCTCTTGTCTCAAATTAAAATTCATATTCATTAACTTTGCTAATTTCACACGCTTGGTCGTTTGTGAAGTTGAAGAATCAAGTAAAAGATGATAAGTTTGTTCGGCATAAGATGCAAATTTGATCATGGCATCTACTACCTAAAATTATGTAAACATTTAAGATATTAATAAGATTGATACTGTATATTTAATAAAATATTTATGAGTGAAAAGGAATACCTTTTCATCCCCAGCTTCATATCTTTTCCTCACATCACTATGAATTTTGCCTAAAAATTTGGACGTGTTATAAATAATATTTTTAAAATAATATCAATAACTGATGTAAATGTTGTGCCTCAGATTAACGCTTGCGTCAGATGCCACTTTGGCCTAAGTTAGGGTTAGGGTTGAGTTATAGTTTAGACTGATTGTTAATTTTGGTCAAATGATCATTATGCAGCTGACATCTTACACAAGTGTTAATCTGAGGCACAACATAGACATACCAGAATCACTAGGATTCCCTTCATAAGCAATCCATAATCCTTTAGGTATTAATTCACTTGGCACTCTTATATATCTTCCGATTCCATTGTTCCTTTCCATAAATTCTTTTTCAAAATCCATGTACATAATACCCCCAAAACTTTGTATGACTCTATCTTGTAATCCTGCGTTAATTCCCAATTCAATAAGCTCTACATCAAGTATCAATTTTACTTGCATTGCTAATGAAATATCACCATTCTCAATTCCGTAAAATTTCATCAACGCTCTCCATAAAGCAGTAATGATAGCAGAAGATCCGGATAGTCCAACTTGTCGTGGTATATTTGTTTCATAACATAGTCTAAATCCTTGCTTATGGAGTACAAAGTTATTGGCTTCACAATATCTATAGAATACTTTGCAAGTTGCCTGAAATAATCTATCAGCATTCGTATAACCTTCTGTGGAAGATAATATTGATAAAGATTCAATTGCTGAGAATGAACATTTTGTGGTTATCATAGAGTGAAAAAACTCGACTTTAGAATATTCTTGTGTATAAATGAATTTGTTGGGGATTAGTGTTATTTCCACAAAGAAATTAGAGATCAATAGAGAAATTGTCTTTCCGTAGAAACCATCTGATGGATTGCCCATTAAACCTATACGTGCATACGAGCGTGTTGTTATTAATGTTGATTGATGACCCGATGGAGGATCTTTTTGGATGACTATAGTACTGATGAATAATGATTTAAAGAGAGATGAGTATTCTCTTAGAGTCAGAAACGGATCCTTCCATTTAAAAAAAGGTTGATACGGAATTATGACCGTTTTAATGGCCAGATTTTTATTCGTCATAAATTGGATAAACTTTCCGATACAATCAAAAGAATCATTAGAATCATCGGCATTTATCATTCCTTTGTTTTTTAATGCATATTCCTCGATTAAATATAGTGCACTTGAATGAAACACACATGCAATTAAGTTGGTTGTATTGATGGTTTCATCTTGATAGAGTTCTCTAGTTGTATCGAGCAATGTTGTCGAAGTTGTAATGTTTTTATTTCGTTTTAATAATTCATCACCGTTGAATATAAGTTTAACAAAATTATTATCAAATAGCAGTTGATTTAGAGATGTGTCGTTGAAAGTATCGAATAATATTTCTGCTTGCACAATAATAGTTGAGTTTACAAAACCCTTGACACGTTTAACAAGCTCAATATCCGCAAACATGTCTTGACTTTCATTTACGAATAATTATTATCCAATAATTTGTAAAGATGTCAGTATTTTTGTTGCAAATGGGTACATATCATTTTGTAGAAAATCTTTTCACACGCATGCCCTTTCATAGACAATCATTACATAAACAAGTTTATTTTGAATACAATTAATTTTGCAGAAAGTCCATTTTATAAACATTTCATTTTATGGGAATTATATTTATATCCTTATTTTTGAGTTTATAAACAATCTTTAATAGTGAATAACTTTTCTACAAATGATACGAACCCGTTACAATTAAGTTAAAAAAAATTTTTTATATCTTTAGCTACATCTTACCAATTTTCGAGTAAAGTATTTCCGTTATTAATGATATTGGATTTCGGGATGCTGTTCGAACTTGCCCATCTTAAGTAACTTGAATAACTTTTCTCAAAGAAATCTCGTCAACTTTTTATTAAATTTTAATCCAGCGTATCTTGACCTCTGCATGAGCCGGGTAGGACTGGGCACAGCAGTACCCTAGTCCTACCCGTTTGTGTAAAGCTACCTTCCTCTTACACTAGGGCCTAGGAATTGATGCTCTAGCCCAACCTTGTGGACTTACCATTGAGTGCCTAAACCCATGCAGAAGCCTAAGCACTATATATGTGGCCGAAACTATTCTGGCTTATTCAAAACTAATTACGGCATAAACTGCAATAGTTTCGACTCAAGCAACCACATATATACGTATATCCAAATATCGTCTCATTAACAATAGCACTTACTTATGAGCATTGGTCACAATGAAAACATCACCCTCAATTTGACTTCTCAAACCATCATACCACCAATTAATAGCAGGTTTTCCAGAAATTGGTAACAGTGGTTTCGGAGAACCGCGTAAAGCAATAATTTCGGGATTATCATATTCTTGCTGTTTGATTATACAAAAGTGAGGCCATTAAAAAAATTGCAAAAATATGAATTCTTTTTAATGAATTAATCAATGATCAAACAAAAGACAATTGTAGTTCAACAAATGAAATACCTTGATTTCGTATTCAAGTTTCGTAGGTTGAGAAGTTGCGAGGATTACTAAGTTGTGTAAGGTTTGCATTTTACGTTT